TAAATTTAAACCCATTGTTAAATAAAAGACCAGCTCTTTATGGCTTTCGTCCATTATACTTACAGAGTACCCATTTTCCTTCAATGCGAGATCATGTACCTTGCATTTAACAAATGCAAGGTCATGTACCTCAGTTTCCCATCATTGTTTCGTATGATGCTTCCATATTTTGGCATGATTTTTCCGAAAAATTTTTTATTTTAATTCAATAAATTTATTTTATTTTATTTTAATTTCGGCATTCAATGGGTTCAAAATATGAGATTTTGTAGATTTTGAAGTTTAAGGAAGGAATATTTGAAGTTTAACGACCGTTATACAACTTTCAAAACAAACAAATTCATTCTGCTATTTTTTTGGGATAATTTCATAAACCAAATCGCGGTCACTTTCACAATAGTCATATTTTTTCATAAAAGACCAGCTCTTTATGACTTTCCTACTTTATAAGAACAGAGTACCTATTTTCCCATAAAACACCAGCTCTTTATGGCTTTAGAATGAAGGGTTAAAATGTCGTTGTCTCTATTACTATCAACTTTTGACTCCCTATTTCTTCCATCCCAACCAACACCAGAACGAAATACCATTATTTGCAGCATCTTCAATAGAAGTAAAAAACAGTCCGATATTCGCATACCCATTGCATAGCCTATTTGTGAAGATGACAAAGTTTTTCAAGAATAGTAAATTCACTTCAAGGGTTGAGATTTGTTCCTTCAAAGACAGAATCAAATTGTTTTCAAACTTAAGCAGATCCTTCAGATTTACCAGAACACAATCAAAAAATTTCACCAGAACTTCACCACTCATGACATTGTTTGGTTCTAAGGAATGTTTTGCCCAATCAATAAAATCTTCTCTTCTCCAATTTCCACCTTGGAAGCTTCAACCTTTTCAAGCAAATCATCTACTACATGATCTAATTTCTCGTTTAGACTTTCAGATCTTGGAAAGCTATTGCTACTATTTGTGAACCTGAATTTGGGACTTTGAAATGAGAAAGAAGATGTCCGATGAAGGTGATGGGTGGCGATTGATTGAAGAAGAAGAGATTGAAAAACTGATGAAGAAGAAGACTCTGGTTTGATAAATATTGTCTGAGGGAATGAGTTGAGGGTTTTGTCCAAAACCTCCCAATTTACTCGGGAATGATTCCAAAAATAGCATTCCAATAGGCTTAACCCAAGCAACAAATAAGGGATTTATTCCATTTTGTGATTCCCAAACCCTTTAACCAAGCAGCCCCTAACATAAACATCCTCACTAATGACAATCTTGAGGGCAGAGGTGGAATTTGATTATTTTCTCTCTCCTGAAACACATTTTATATTCATTGTCCACCTCAATTGGGTTGGACCTGAAACTATCTACTTAGTTTTAGGGGAGGTATAAGGGATTTTCGGAACTTCAGGGGAGGTCCTTGAGACTGTCAGAAACCTCAGGGGAGGTTTCTGAAATTATCCCTATTATCAATTATTGGAATGCATTAAATCTGTTTAATTACAACTGTCACCATAAATGAAATTTACTTAATTTTAAAGCTTTTCATTTCATAACCGCTTCCATTATTCACTAATATTGCAATACAATAAATATATGTAATCATTAGAAAAATAAGGGTATTTTGGATATCACCAAAAACAATTTGGATATCATTTTCATTTTATCATTCTTCATTTTATATTTACTTTTATTATAATTCTTATTTTATCATTGGAGATGGTTCTGACTTGATGGATGGATTTGGTTTGTTCAAACCAATACAAATGAAGTATTACTATATTATTGTCAATAACAGTGATTTGGATATCAGTGATTTGGATGTTGTCTTTGTCTTCCCTTGGATATCAATGATTTGGATGTTGCCTTTGGTATTATTTGAATTGTATTCTAACTTTTTAATTCATTTGCTATTTACTTTATGTCACTTTATAAATAGTTTTCAATCTTATTTTAGTTTTTCTTGTTTTGATCGGTTGCTATTAATGATAATAGTGGTTTGTATGGTGCTATCTTAGATTTCTTTTGTCTAGTTTAATACTGCTATTTCAATTATAAAGGTGTCATCGTTTTTTGTATATTGAAATTTTATTGGGTGCAACATGAAAAATTCTTCATATTGGTAAAAGTGCATAATTGTAAAATTTACTCGTGATATTTGTGTGAAGATATACAGATGAATAAGGGTTTTTCTTGTCATTGTATGTTTCTCCATTTTCTAGAGAATATCTATTTTTTGAAATTGATTTTTTTTAACAATCTCAACTAATGACTAATGAGAAATTTTTCATGCTTCAATTAAGAAATTTTGATACTTATAATAATAGGAGATGGAGTCCAAGGGTAGGTAAATAGTTTTTAATGAGGAATTTTTAATTATAATTACCAATACCATTAAAATGTAATCAATTGGAGTGTTTTATTTCTTTTAATTAGTGCCACTTAAAATGCAATAATTCTAATTGAAAGACATGAGGGTAATTTAGGAATAATAAAAGCTAAGATAAAAAACTGCTTACACTTGCACTCCCTAATACCAACATTCATACTTTTTATTTTATATATATATATATATATATATATATATATATAGTAATGATAATGATACGTAAAGAATTATATTAGATCATAGGATGGTTTAAAAGACAAAAGCTTACATTGGATACTCCACCGGAAAATAGAGCAAAAGAGAAGTCTGATCTCTGGTTGATCAGTTGAAGCTTCAGCGAACCTTTTCCAGTGTTTTTGTAAGTAGGATTGGTGCGATTTGCATATTGATACTGCAGAAATAAGAAAATAGTTCAAAAGATGCCATTTTGTTCTCTCCATAGATATGCACAGAGCAACCGGACGTTTCTGTGCCCTTTTTTATTCTGTCAATCACAAACCTTTATGGGTGCGTTACACAGTAGAGGTGGAGACACCATGCGATTTTCGGCGGAGCAAGCCGCTGCACTGAAACTCGTTAGTTGAAATGCATACATTAGCCTAAAATCTCATCCATATTGTAGTCCCAAGTAGAGATTTCCTCATCTTGGGGTTGGGGGACGGGATGAATGCGAACTGCACTAACAAGTCTGAAAATAAAGGTATGCTTCACCTAAAATTGGCGGGAGAAAATACTCCAATCCAGTCATCAATTGCTGGATTTGAAATGCTGTACTCTACCGTAACCCATTCTTGGTTTAGCCCCTAGAACATAGAAGAAGAGTTGCAAAAAAGTCACATTTGATTTTTACTTTCAGACCCTGTTTTCTGCGCCTAAAACAACAATTTCAATTCTGAATCCAATTTTAGAATTTTTTGCAACTGAAAATAGTTTGTGATGATCACCCAACTCCTCATGCTACGTAAAGCATGCTGCTATAGAGTACATTTGACACTTACATTAGCTCCAAGAGTTGAAGGAAATGCTCTTATGGAGGCATTATTATCAATTGCAGCTACTGTCTTCTGAATGGAAATCCGAGCAAGCGGATGGTCCCCATGCGATATCACCCTTTGAGAGCAGAGTAGGAGCCACAAAATTGCAGGCAAAATAAAGAAAGCTCGCATTTTACCTCAATCAGAATCTGAAACAATCGAAACAAAATATTAAACTCATCCTCACGAGACAGACATTAGCTTTCATGTATCCTAGATTTCTCAACAAGATCACACTTTTGCATGACAATCTTCATTTACAGATGGTAGACTTAGCTCTCAACGCTGCTAAAAACCATCAGAAGATCAAACACAAAAAACTCGGAAATCCAGCAGGTATAAATGCAAATTTAAGCCTTCATCAAAATTTGGATTATATCGCTTTTCCTAATATTTACCTCAAAAAGATCTGTGGGCTGCACTTCAACAAGCAAGCAGATGAAGTACGGGGAACAATTTATTCAAGCATTAACTCAACCGGAAGATAATAAGGTTGAACTTGCTTAGAGTCAACTGGTGTTGAAGAAGACTTGATAGCCAATGAGAAACCCGAGAATCCAGATCAAGTTAAAACTTAAAAGGGTTGCTGGGATTTCACTTATTCAAGAGAAAAAGTAAATCGACTTTAAATGTTAGATATGCACAATAAAAAGAAAATCCAAGGTTTATAAACTGCTGCTGGCTTACGAAAGAAAAGTTTATGGAGAAAGCGACAGTGTCAGCTTAAGTAGTCCCGCTTTTTACATCTGTTAGTCCTATAATTTACTAGGAATCTTTGGTAGAAGATTCCATTAATGGCCGGCTTTGAAGGAAGGTGATTAAACTCGACGAGTGTCATTAGGCAAATTTATAGTAGCTTGATTGTGTGAAACGTTAACAACTTGTCAGCAGCCAGCCCAAGGAGGTCGGGCGGCTGCTGATAACAGAAAAGCAAATCAACTCTACTTTTTCTGTTATGCGTTTTTCCTCTTTTGTTTTTTTGTCTTTTTTTTTTTTTCCCTTTCTGTTTCTCAAAAGAAAAAGACAGAGAGAAAGTCATGGACTTTTTTGATTCGAAGAAGGGTAGAAAAATTATGGATGAAATCCCAAATTTCCAATCTCTCCTGAATTCATGAAGTACCCATAAATTACTCGACATTAATCTTAGATGAATGTATAGGTACTAGATCAAGCGAATTTTGAGAATGGAGAAAATAACATTGAGAGAATTACTTTAGTCGAGACCAATGTGATCATAAAAAACAGAGTTTACGCTATAAAAAAGATTGCATCACTCTAATAAGGATTTGCGTTCACACTACAAAATCGTTTATATCACCCAAAAAAAAAAAAGGGATAGTAGGGTGGACTTGACTCTTTGCATTGCTTGATCCATACCAAGACTCAAATTTGCTTATCTTGAAGCAACTCACAATTTTCAGGTGCAATTGTCAGTTTTTAATTGTACTACAAAATGCATGTGTACTTTTACAATTAATTTGACACTAAAACATTACAAGTGAAAAAGCACAAGATGTTTTATAGTAACTTTTTTTTTTTGTCTTGGTCCCATAATCAATCCATCTAAACTCAAATTAAACACATCTGAACAATCAATAATTCAATTTGCTTTGACAAATGACAATTGTATAGTTATAACCCGTTGGTAACTGTGTCACTGGTTTGATAACTGCAGCCTAATTTGGCAGTCTTATGTATAATCTGCTCACATTTCACCTTCCATCTTCATCTTAATCACAATGGTTATGGACTCAATCCATGTTCCTAAACTTCTTGTGCAGTCGAATAGAACATTGGCAAACACCATGCACATCGGGTATTGGATAAAGAAACTGTAGAGCAACTTTTGTGGAAATCCCTCTGTCATTTTACATCTGCCGAAAGAAAGAAAGAAATAGACAATATAGCACTAGAAGAAGATGTTTCCAAAGCGACAATCTCTCAGGCAATTCCGGAACTCTTCCACCCACAGCTAGAAAACCAAAATAAAGAATTGCTTCTTCAAATGAAAAGTGTCATCCACACGATCAGAAATCCTGAAACGAAAGAAAACCAAAAGTTATTAACCATTTCGTTAGTTCAATTCTATATCAGAAATTTAGGTGCAACACTTCTTGTTTAAAGAAATGTTGAGAGCAATTTTAAGGTTATGAGATGCTGAAATTCACTACGTAGTCAAATATATAGCAGGGACGAACGGTGAACATATTCTTTCTACTAGTTCTCCTTTCCAATTTGTTCTTCCAAATATTTGCAATATATTTTGTGTAAGAATAAAAAGAGCTCCTTTCTAAATAAACTTTTTCTTCAACTGGGGCAAAAAGTAGTGTGAAAGTGTTGAACATCACCCACTATTTTCAGTCAGAGAAGACTTTTGGTCCGAAAAATGACAAGCATAAAGTAAGAAAAAATGCAAACTTTTGCCTTTTACCTCCGAGACATAATTTCGTTTGAATTCTGCGTCTCCATGTCCCACTCCAAGCATATCCTGATCAAATCAAGATGAGATTTTTCACTTAAAAAGAGTGCATGATATGTAAAATTAGGCGTCAAATTTGAAACCAAGAAAAGTACTACAGGTGCAGCTACCTCGTCCGTAGCAATTGATGGTGGTATTCATTCCATTCTTGCAAATACAGGCAAATGACTGGTTGAAACCAGAAAAACCACAGGACCCTCCACTATCCTCGCAGTTTTTGCACGATTCTGTATAATATGAGCCATTGAATTGCAATGGAATCCCATACTGCCATTTCATTGGATTTCCTTCGTCCCCTCCAAAACCAATAACTGATGAATATGATGAGCATTGGAGCTTAGGAAGATCCAAACCATAACCTGAACCGAGAGGAATTGGAGGTTCATAAACACAACAGGTGGATATTGGTGCACTTGGTACCAACCCAATCCCAGTAATTGCATTGCAAGAATACAAGCCTCTGCATATATTTGAGCCTGAACCTGTATCGCATAGATCTTGTCTTTTATCAAACACTGGAGATGTTGTGGAGCATCCAAGCAGAACAAATACATTGTCTGTTGTTATGCTGAATGGGCTCTCGCGATCCAATATAAAGCTTCCTGAGTTCTGCATTGAAGAACAGGTTGACATGAGAGGATCTGTAACAAGAATGGTGTTGCTTGAGTAGTCTATTGAGGATACAGTGTATATGCCAGTGCCAGTGGTGAACTGGAGCACCCCAGAACTGCATCTGATGTATCTAGCAAAGTGAGGATGCCCACAACCAAATCCAGAACCAAAGGGAAACTTTATGGGAACACCACCACAAGTATCATGACATGTGCCATTGATAGGAATGATGCTGGGAATGGCATGATTTGCCTGAATTGAGTGAATTAAGAGAAGCAGGACAATAACTTGCCAAAAAATTGTAAAATGTGACATTGAAGAGCCTGGTACAGAAGATGGAGCAATTCGTTATTGGGGCATATAAAAGATGAAAACTGGCAGAGGAACGGGGAATTTTACACTTTTCGGTGAAGGTGTATATAATGTCAAAGTTCCTGAAAAGAAGAGCCCGGCTTTATGATGGGTTCTAGCTGAAAAGCACTATGGCTTTTGGGTTGATAAAAACTCTAAAAACTAGCCAGCCCCAATGTATCCATCTGCTGCTGGCATAGGGCGATTAAGCATTCCAGCAAGATTATGTGACCGCACACTACCAATATCTGAACCAAAATTAGCTAACTTTGGATTAAATTTTTCCTAGGCTGTAATTAGTAATTACAGCGGTGGGCAGTCAAAAAGGATACACAGCAAGTAGATAATAGATACTGACAATTCAAATCCTATTAAAAACAAGCACCTAAAAGGAATTAAAAAAAAAAAGAAGAAAAAACTAGAGCACCATGAAAGTTATTGTACACTCATAATTCAAATATTGAAAACGAAAAATAAATGAATGCCTATTCCCAGCCATAAATGCTGTAAATTTATAATTATCCACCTACTAGCTAACCTTGTACTTGCATTCCGTATATCCAAGTGTTACATGTTCTCTGTATCCCTAGCAAAGGAAATAGCAGCAACATGCAGAACTGAAGCTGCTAATTGGGAAATCAAGAGAATAAAAAATGATGAAACTCATGTAACACTAACTTATTCCAATGAAGCACATAAGTCTTTAAATTTTCCTCAGCCTTCCTCCCCTTGTTGCCCTTTTCCTATGAATAGCAGCAGGCTTTGCAGCTGGAATATCATCTCGGTCAAGAAAACTGGATATATTTTTGCCTTTGTGAGTGCTTCAGATATTACGCACTATACAATATGGAAAGATCTGAGGCTTTCAAGAATACCTTAACTTCAAGCGGAACAAGAACCAGCATCAGTTTAGCTTTGCTAAATGAAACATCAAGACCTGCTTGTTGAAGTAATCCTACAAGCAGGAGCACTGGGCATTTCTGCAGAAAATAATTAAAAAGATTCATCATGCATTTAGACCAGCCCAGTTCTTGAATGCGATCAGTGCTTCCATTTTCCTGAAGTTCCTCCTCCTCAACTTTGAAACTTTGAGCTTCTTGTGTGTCTCCATGAATGCTTGTTTGTACCTCCATTTATCAACAAATATCTTCATTGCTTGAGATTTCTCCACAACTTGCATCACAGCGTCAAAGAAACCCCCTTTAACCAAAGCATATAGGAAAGCGTCAACCAAGTTATTGTCTAGCTTGATTTTCTTCTCCCCTTCAATCGAAACCTTTCTCTTCACCTCATTCCATAACATCAAAACGCTAAAATACTTCTCTGCTGCCACATACCCATTAATTAGGGAAAGATAAGTCTGTTCATTTGGCTCGAATTGAAGGAAAATCATCCTCCTCAAAGTCCTCCTGGCATCTTCCAGTCTCCCAGCCTTACAGAAAGCATGGATAATTGAATTCCAATCGTGGGTACCAATTTCAATTCGAGGGTCCCCGACAACCTTATCCAAGAATGCTGCCATCAGTTCAGGTCGATGGCTTTCAGTTAAACCTGTCATTATAGTCAGATAGCTCGCTTTCAGGTCAGGTATTCTTGCTTCTCTCATGTCCCTAAACAAAGAAAAAGCTGATTGAAAGTCTTGACAAGACATGGATGCCTCTATTAGAGCATCATAACTATCAACATCCAACTGGAGTCCGGAATTACTTATCTCTGCAACCAATTGAGCAGCTTCAGCCGTTCGTTGCTCTCTGCAATAAGCTTTTAAGATTGACGCATAAACCCCCAACCCAACACTAGCTCCTTGTGCATTCATTTCATCAACTATGCTATGTGCCTTATCTAACAAACCATTGCTAACGCAAGCATTGATAATACCAAATCCAATAGTTCTCTCAACTATAACAGATGAAGGTTCCAACTTCTGAGCTTCAACAATCAGGTTTGCCAAAACTTTTGTGCTCCCCTTTTCAAGATATCCTTTAACAACTTCACCATAAGTTTCTTCAGTAAAGCATGCACCTTGTTCATTCCCTTCTTTGACACTACGCAGAATAGTTGCCGAAACAAAATCCAAGTTACCTGACTTCAAATATCCACTAACCAATTTACTAAGAAAAACATTTTTGCTAGAAAGGCCAAATTTTCCAATCAAAGCTTCTAACTCAGAAATTTTGCCCTCAAGCCCCTTCAAGGCATACAAATACCCAAGGTAACTGAAGCTAAACTCATCGGGCCTAATACCCAATACAGACATCATCTCTACAACTCTATCAGCCTCAGTAACGGATTCAATCTCACAGCAACACCCCTCCAATGCAGCATTACAAGCTATCAAATCAGGCTTCAAGAAGTCTAACTTCTCATCAATAGCAATCCTACAAGTCTCGTTAAAAATGCTCAAATACGCGATAAAGCTACCGCTTTTCCTACTAATATGGACCAGAACACCACCCCACAACTTAAAAGGCAGGAAAAATCTGTTCTTGAACATACACTTAACCAATGCAATAACGGGGGCAGCAGTATTGCCATTCTTCATAGAATTCAAAACGGTCGTTACAGATTCATATTCTAACAATTCTGGATTCTTTTCTATCAAATAGACAACTGTTGCAAATGCTCTTTTAAGATTGTGAGTATCATTTAATGAAGACAAGTGGCTAATTAGTGAATTCGTAAGGGACTTACTGGGAAAAGAAGAGGAATTGGTGAGGGTTTTGAAAGATTTCCATGCTTCATCTATGTTTTGGCTGATGAGGGAGGACTGAAGAGTGGACTCAAGAGTGGTAATGTGATCTTGGGATAGCCCTTTTGAAGTGGACTCTTGAGGTTTTGGTAAGGGGTTTAAGGGTTCTTTGTTTGATCTCTTTAGTGAAAAAACTGAAGGCTGCAGAAACGAATAAAGGGTTGGAATTTCTGGTTCTGATGAAAAGGGTCTTCTTGCAATCAAACACACAGCCCTTCTCCACATTCTCCCCCCACTCCACAGCCCACCCCCACCAATGCGCAGGGTTGAAGATGAAAGAGGCCCTTAAACCTCAGCATATGAAAGATGAGAGAGAGCCATGCTCATTATAACATCAGCTGGAATAGCTCAGTTGGTTAGAGCGTGTGGCTGTTAACCACAAGGTCGGAGGTTCAAGCCCTCCTTCTAGCGTACCTCTTTTTGTTTTTCTCTTTTGACTTTTTATCATTTTCTTCTTCTCACGGGTTACAAATTATTAGTTAGACTCTTTTTGTTTTCCTATTTTGACTTTTTGTTATTTTGCTTCTTCTAACGGGCTACAAATTAAATGTCTTTTTTAATTTATGGGGCCTTTTTTTTTTTTTTTTGTAATTTTTGGCCCCCTTTTCCTAAACTCCTTAGCAGTTTAGTTGATCGAACTTCTGAAGTGAGCCATGGAATCAAAAGCAGCAGCGGAGATGATGTTCGAAGAATGGAATGGGACTGCATCAACAAAACTCACGAAAACGGCTACCATCACTTTCACTGAAAATGAAGCTGAATCCTTTCCAACTTCTCCGTCCATTAAAAAGTCCAGCAGCCCATTTAAACAAATCACCAGCAGGATTCTTGAAGCTTTCCTACCTGAGGCAAGCTACGATCTTTTCACTTATCAATGCAGTTATATATGATAAAATACGTATTTGTTAGATATTTTATGTGCAAGCTTGATTCAATATTTGGGAATTTATGAGAATTTGTTTTTGGGTTTAATAATTGGATTAGCTGTATAAATGAAGTAATAAATAGATTGATGATTAAGGCAACTTTCATGCTATTACTTATGTAAGTTTGATCAGGATCGCACAGGAGAAAAAGGACATAAAGGAGTGTATCTTAACTTATTTCTGTGTAAGACTATTTAGTTGATAAATTTCTCTGGTTGGACTGGTGAGAGAGGAGAATTTATGTTCGACGAAAACAGAGCGAAAATGGAAAAGAATATTGAGATTATAATATATTGTGGCCGGATAACTCGTAGTTTTGTTGACTTACACTACTGTCTATTTATGAATTTTGTAAATTGCCACAAAGATGTGTACACGTTTTCAATGTGTTTGTCATTGTCCATTACTTGTCTAGCTCTTGGCTTCTCATCCGTGTGTTTATCACTTAGATGCTTGGACTAGTCAGATGATTGAAAATCTAAGTTTAAGTTTTTGTTTCTGAAAGACTGAGTTTTGAAGATTGCTTGGTGTCAGAAGTTTTCAATTTTATTCACTGAAACTGCCTTTCTTACTTGGACATTGATGATGCATGTACCCAATGCAGGGTTTTCCTGATAGTGTAACTTCGGACTACGTGCCCTTTCAAGTATGGGATTCATTGCAGGTTGGATGTAATCATCAATCCTGTAATAACAAACATTTTCATTATAACAGTTATCCCCTTTATTTTATCATTTAAATCTTATTGCATGTACTTGCATTCAGGGTCTTTCTACGTATGTGCGAACAATGTTGTCAACCCAGGTAAGATATCTGAGGATATTTATAAAAAATTCGTAGAACACTGGCTGTAATACTAAATTTTTGTTTACATAGAATTCGGTGTTCCATATGTTTTTAGGCTCTACTGAGTGCTATTGGGGTTGGTGAGAAATCAGCTACTGTTATCGGGGCCACATTTCAGGTAAAGTATTTGTTACCTGTGAATTTTTCTAATTGTTTGCTAAGGTTTCAGCCTGTCAAGGGTGATCTTTTCAATCTCATGAAATGTGCAGTGGTTTTTGAGGGATTTGACTGGAATGCTTGGTGGTATCTTGTTCACATTGTACCAGGTCTGAAGTCCTGTCCTTCCTTGTTGCTTATACAGTTTTTAAATAAAGAGCATCTGTCATAATCACACCAAGTAGGGGTTTACTTATCTATTTAACTCTCTGCTATCCCAAAATTTTTATGATACTTTAGCTTCTTTAGTGTAGTATGGCGTTGTCATAGCTTGCACAAAGCATTCATTCTTTATCTTGCCAGTTGTAACAATTTGATTCTATAATCTGTCGACAATACTTTGTCAATTGAGCAGCAAATGACTGCATCAAGCATTATCTTTTACTATGTTGATTTTCAGGGTTCTAACTTGGACAGTAATGCAAAAATGTGGCGTTTGGTGGCAGATCTCATGAATGATCTTGGTACATGGTTTTATATATTTTTGAGCTTTGACTTGATGTTTAATTACCATTGGTGGCGTGTCTTTCACTCTCTTATACACATGCACAGAGAGAGAGAGAGAGAGAGAGAGAGAGAGAGAGAGAGAGAGGGAGGAGGAGAGAGAGAAGTTTGTGCGATTTCTTCATTTCTCTTTGCGCTTTTGGCAAGAAGAGGAAAAATATGAAAAATTATTGGTTCTACACATGCAGACACACTCTAGAAACTCACTGCTTCACAACTATTATCTAAATTCCAGAACAAATATTTGCCTTTCTTCTTGTTTAGGAAAAAAAGTCGTTCAAAGTTTTCCAAAATTCTAGCGGTAAGATCTTCAGAAATTATGACAGTTCCACAAAATGAAAAAAAAAAAGGAAAAAAAAATGGCATGCAGCTTTGATGCATAGAAAATTAGTGTAAAGATATTGAAATTTTGCTCTCCTTTTCATCAATAGGTAATAGCATAGCTATATTTGCTAATATTTCCATTATTTTCTTACAGTTCTCATCATTTGTTCAGTGTATGCAAAGTTACTTGGTATCAATTTTCGTTTTCCAATAACTAAATGGAAGTAATATGGCATTTGTTGCAGGAATGTTGATGGATCTTCTTTCTCCTTTATTTCCTTCGGCCTTTAGTTTCATTCTTTGCTTGGGAAGCTTATCAAGGTCATTCAGTAAGTTATAAAATGATTAGTGGACATGCAAATATTTGCTTCATTTACATGGACCTGCACATTGTGGAGTAACGATGTTATCTAGGGTTAAATAAACAAGAAGTTGACTTTTGTTAGAGTATATTTTCTGGTTAAATGGAGCTTACTGATTTCTTGGTTGTGTGCATGTCTTCTAGTTTCCTAACCAGATGAAATTGATTATAGATGGTAATGGTTTATCAACTGCAGAACAAGTACCGGAAATGCTGGCTTCTGCTCGTTTTGCCAGCTCTCTTTGGCAAACTCCATTAACTGTTAAATATAGTTTGCAAACATTTCTGTGCACCTGTCAACATCTTCTGCTGTCTGCCAGTCCATAGAAGAGGAATGGCATGAAGAAGTTGATCATTCTAAACCATTTTTTGTTCCTCTTAGGCTGCATAATGCAAATTGGTTTGAAAAATTTTTATTTAGTCAACTTCGCCAAATTTCTTTTACTTTTACTCATAGTCCTTTTAAGGGTTGAGATCAACAAGCATCTGGCATTTTATATTCATATTTCTCTACCAGAAGTCTGACCAAACGAGATTTGCTTATAGCATCCTGCAATACTATTCATATGCTTATATCCGGCTAGAGATCTGGCTGATGAAGTTAAGGTATCTGAAGCCCATTCCAGATCACAAAAAATTAAGTTGACTTAATGTGTTTGGTTCTTTAGAATGGAAATCAGATTCTGCATGGCAAATTGAGTCCTTTTGGGTGCAATTCATTACACCACCATTCAAATCCTTAAACCAATCACGACCTGAGTTAATTCTTATACATTTTGACTTTTTAGTTTTGACCAGTCTATCAATTGATATGATGCATAAAATTGAGCTGTGCCTTTGTAGAATTGACTTGAAGTTTAATGCTATGATTTTATGTCAGTGATGTTAACCAGCAGTACTTACCATAAAAGCAATCTCATTCCCCCCCCCCTCCCCGGGGGCTGGGCCCCCAAAGGGTCCGTTTAGGGTTGCGGTAGTTATTGAAAAGTACTCCCTAATAGAGCTTTTAATAAAAGTACTTATTAACTGCTTAAGTGCTTTTATATATATTGTTTGGAGACGTAGTTCAATAAGTACTTATTGTATTGAATAATGCGTAATTTGAGAATTTTTAAAAGTGTTTGTCTCTTTATTTGGTTCATAATATAGGATAAAATGATTAAATTTGATGTTTTATTTTTTAAATCACAAAAGCTACTCTAAAAACACCAAATTTGAGGTTTTGTTAAAAGTGCTTTTAACACCAAAATCTCTACTCCTAATTTTATGGGATGATGTTCACTAAACACTTTAAAAGTACTTTTAGCACTAAAAGTGCTTTTTTACCAAAAGCACCGCAACCCCAAACAGGGCCAAAATTCCCAAACCCCGTCCAACACAAAAAGATGGAAGAAAATGCATGTGATGACTATTGTTTTGACGTTGCATTGCTTTTACTTATTTATTCTTATAACTTGTTGATAAGCATTTTCATACTGTGGCTAACTTCCATTATCAAATCATGTTCATCTTGATAGCTGGTGTTGCTAGTGGAGCCACTAGAGCTGCTTTGACACAGCATTTTGCTCTTCAGAATAATGCAGCAGACATATCTGCAAAGGTACTTGTTTTGCTATTTCAAATGGATTTGAACATACCAAAGGCACTTATTTTACCTGTATTTCTTCTTGACAGGAAGGAAGCCAAGAGACAGTTGCAACGATGATTGGGATGGCTTTTGGAATGCTTCTTGCACGCATAACCATGGGACACTCCCTATCAATATGGTTATGTTTCTTGTCCCTCACAATGTTCCATATGTATGGTTAGTTCTTTTTCTGTTATTATCTGAATATCATGTCTTCTTATGATACTGTTATGATAACATAAACTCTTTTAACACTGTCTTGTGTATGCCTTTTGTTGTTTGCTTGCAGCAAATTACAGAGCTGTTTGTTGCCTTTCTCTTACCACACTAAACTGCCAAAGAAGCTCAATAATTTTGTTGCACTTCTTGGAGACCGGCCAAGGTCAGTTACAGGATATTTGTCGATGCTTTAACCTTGCTCAATTGATTGCTTCACTTACTACCTCGTAGTAGTTAGAGCTATTGTAGCATAAATTCGAAGTAATATTTTCTTTGTTATTATTTGGCTGACCAGTCTCAAGTTCTCTTCTCATGCTGCCTTATAGTTGGATTATAGTTAAATATTCAATGTAATATGTGGCTACACGGATAGTGTAACATTGAAAACAAGATATTTTGTGCATAAACCTGTCTACACTTGTAAGTGTTTATTAATTACAGTGCTGTAATGTAGTCTCTGGACTTTTGTTGACCTTTTATTTGCACTATAACTGAGAGTGCTGATTACTTTTATCTGCAAAATTCCATTTTTTACTATGAGCTTTTTTTATATTTTATTTTTTTAAAGGCCTTCCTCATATTATTTTAGAATAAACTTCAATACAATATAAAGTGATTGATTGTTCATCCTTTTACTGGGCAGTCCTCTCCCCAAAACAGGTCTCAACGATGGAGCATGTTTTACCAGTTTGGACCACTTCTTGGTGCTCAAAGAGTGTCAACATTTTACACACACGTGTTTGCATGGGTGTCAGGATCTCTTCACTCAACTATCGTGACTTGTAAGTTTCACTTTTACTCAACCATATGCAATTCTTCATTATAGAATCCATAAAAGAAAAAGAAAAAAAAGAATCTAGTCTTGAAACGTAGAAGAATGAAAATGAAATTTATACTCCGCATGAAACTTTAACCAATTTTTGCAGTGATAATGACAGTAAACTCATTTCTGAAATACTTCTCTGCTAGTAGTTTGTCTGATTCGACTTGATTTAATCTGCAGAAAATGGCCCTGAGTGGTATTCCTGCGATTAATATGCCAGATAAAAGAATTTGCATACTAATTTGTAGCTTATGTGCATCTTGTTTGTACCAAGCAGGGGGGAGCTCTCTCATTTGGCTGGATCTCATTACAAGAAAGGTTAAAATGATTCTGAGACAATTTCCATCCAAAATTAGCTTACTTTTAACTGTGACTTATCTGCTCTGTTTTGATCCTTGTAGCAAAATACTTGCTGCTTGATAAAAAGGGAGTGATAAATGTTGTTATGCACAAAGATTCCACAGCAACGGATGTCCTGAAGGCGTTCATTCATGCACTTGTCATGGCAAAACTCAACAATCAAGGCAGATCTGTTCATTCGGAGAGTCAACTATGGATTGATAAACACTATGAAGTATTTGTTCTTAAGGTACGTTTACGTGGCCGATTGGGTTTATTATACTGTGCCTTTAAGTGGGAGAAGAAAAGCTCTATGACGTATATTAGGTAATGGAAGTTAGAAAAGAAACTGCACCATGGGAAAATCAGTGGTAACATTAATCTAAAATCATTGAAGCATGCTCTTAAGGCTTAAAGTTCAGATGATGTTATGTAGAAGTTTGATCTAATGGCTGGTCCTAACCATGCACTGTGTCTGGTGGTGTAGTGTATGACAGTTTCTGAATATAATTTTCCTTCTTTTCTCTAACTCTTTCTACTTTTCTTTTTGATACCATGATTATTACACTGAATAGAACATTATTTTTGTTTCCCTACATTTTTGCTCTATGGCAGCTTCAGTCCTCGGGATGGAGAACAGAACGGCTTTTGTCCCCAACTGTCACCTGGAGGGCTAACTGGTTAATACCTTCTTCAAATGGAAAATTTGACTAAGCCTCCTGATTTCATAATTTTGGGGAGATATGGAGCAGAATGCAAAAGCTGTTGAACCTAAAAGAGAGTAATATTTCGATATTCTGAGCATCTGCTGGCTTAATGTTCTGACGTACAGTAGTAGAGGTAGAGGGATATATTGTCGGTTAGCTCTTTTGCGGGTGATGTCAGATCATTGCTGACGTTTAGTGTAGACACTCATGCTCCAAGGAGAACCTTCAGCTTTCCCATACTCAAACGAAAACAGATGAAACTATGGAACTTTCTGTACTGTGTAAGAAGGGTTTTGAACAGGAGAAAGGTTTCCAATCCAATCAATTGGTGGATTATGAATGCTATCTTCTATAGTAATGGTTCTTTTTAAAAAAAAAAAAAAATTGCGAAGAGGATCAATAGTGATTTTTCACTAACCCTCTTGATGATTTGAACCTGGAACTTGTCAATTATGGCGTGAGGTGTTGCTTCATTCTCAAAAACATAGAAGAATTTCGAGTGAATTTCAAAAAAAAAAAAAATGATAACCATCACTGGACAATGTATACAAGATTGAGCACTAACATTTGACTGGATGTTTTCGAAATAAAGGTTTAAATTGAATCTGAAACATGATTTTCATCTAGAAAAAGCTAACCGGGCTTGGATGTAAACAGTCCACTGTCCATAATTCAAGAGCTCCGGTTCAGCTTCTCCTGCCACTCCAAACAAAATCAAACTAGAAGAGATTCAAGAAACAAAAGGGATTATTCCATGCAAACGCACACGAGAATGAATACGTGTAGCCTCTATCAAGGAACTATTATTATCTAAACTTCAGAATGAATATTGGCCTTTCTTCTTGTTGATGAAAAGAAATGGTTCAAAATTTTCCAAAATTCTAATGCTAACCTCTTCAGAAATTTTGAGAGTTCCACGAAATGGAAAAAAAAATAAAAATGGCGTGTAGCTCTGATCCGTAGAAAATCAGTGTGAAGAAATGGATAATTTCCTCTCTTTTTCATTAACAGGTAACAGCGTAGCTACATTTGCTAACACTAGTATTAATTCCATTATTTTCTTACAGTTCTCATCACTCGTTCAGTATATGCAAAGTTATCTGGTATCACTTTCTGTTCTCCAATAACTCAATGGAAGTAATATGGCATTTGTTGCAGGAGTGTTGATGAATCTTCTTTCTCCTTTGTTCCCTTCTGCCTTTAGTTTCATTCTTTGCTTGGGAAGCTTATCAAGGTCATTCACTAAGTTATAAAATGGTAAGTTGACTTGCAAATAAGAAACAAAGAGAAAAATGCTAAGACATTGTAATATGAAACAATAATATTTGGTTACAATTGGTTCATTGTACAAATAAGAAGCTATGGCGTGCGATGAAATGTGTGATGAGAAGTTGACTGGTAGTCATTTCCTTCATCATCCCTTCTTGTACTTCTCTACCCAAATCTTCTGGAACATTTTGCCAAAGAATAACTAGTAAAATATTTCTCCTGTAAAGCACTGAGGAAGTGCTTAATCAGGTGTTACAAATTACAATACCCTCTGATCTCCCTCCTGAATTCCAAAATAATATATACATCTTTACCAAAAGTCTGGATAAAGACTTGGTGGAGTATTCTCAGCAGAAGTTGCTTAAATCTAGTTGAAAACTGCACATCTTCATTCAACCATCTTCACAACTATTTACGATGCCCTGAAGAAGCCATGAGGACAGCAACAGCCACAATGAACATAAACAACATACTGCCAAGACACAAGTATGTTCTTCTCGATGATCTTCTGTATTCCCCAAATATAACTATACCCCAAAAGGTACTCACAAGCGGAAGTGCCTGAAAGGTGTTCATAAGCAAAGCCAATTTCAGATTCATCATCAGGAGAAGTTATTCAATAAGTAATAACTTAGTGTCTGAAATAGTCGTACTAATTCACTTACCTGAACAGCGTCTGCAGCAGCATATCCAGCTGCTTGTCCTCCCATAAATTGGAGGCCATTTCCAAAGCCACATAAAAATCCTGCCAAAAAGGCCCACCCTCTACCATTCCAATCCAATAGATAGGCTTTAATTGATGATTTTGGCGTATTGAGTACAGGGTGAAACAGGAAGGTGATGTTTAGAATAAGCGCAACGATAAAGCAAGAGACTGAGAAGTAAAAGAATGCAGTATAGACACTCAAGTGGGGAACCCCATGTTTTAATTTGTGCCACTGATCATTGGTTGCCAGGTTGAATGCTGGTGAAAAAAGAGAAAAGCAAACTCCAGCAAAGAAAGTTATGCCCAAACCAAGAACAGTGCTCTTTCCAAACACCTGCAACCAAGTACAGAAAGGCATCAATCAAACTCTATATTCTTCTAGTACATGTCCATGGTACAGAAGCAAAGCACTTAATGGGGCAAGGCCGAATTCTGACATTTCAAGCACTACCAACATGAATATTGTTGTAAACTTCTTGTGATGTCATTCTTGGATGTGATGAATTGCATGACATTGAAAGAAAGGAGTGAGGACACTGCGAACCAATAAATAAATAACCTTCCTCCTAGCGAAAAGAGGGAGAAACGGATAAACTAAACCATTGTGAATTTCAGCTAGTTGGTAGGAAATTTAACAGACTAAGGAGCAACGACAAATCACCAACCTTAATGGACCTTTTTTTTTCAAGCTCTATAAGAAAATGTGCTGTGCCAAACTTTGCCTTTTCTGCAGTACCAACTCCATTCTCCAAGTCACCTTTCCAAACTAAACAGTAGCAGAGAGTAAGCAAATAGTAGACAACAGTAAATGAGATCAAGCAAGAAGACGTGAAATGAAAATCCCAAAAAACTCGTACCCATTTCCAAAGATGCCTCATTGGACGTGGATATACTCTTGGTCCTGAAAAGTTTCAGTTTCAGTGACTTTCAGAGAGACGCAAGAGAAAAAGAATGCATGAGGGAGGGAGTTTCAAGACTTTCTATCACCTTGATCCTTATCATTCAACCTTACTTTAGAAAATACAGTAGAAAATAGATTTAAGCTAATAATTCTCTTTACACTTCAAGAGCAAAAGTAGCAGAAATGAGGAGTTAGAGGTGGATAACCATCCCCACTATGGCACAAACTTTTGTAGCAAAGTTGCCAACATCTGTTGTCTGAACAAATTTCCAGACCGTTATTGCAAATTCAAAAGTAAATGTACACAAACTGCATAATCGTATTAATCATCAAGCTAAGATAACCTAAAGAAAGGATTGAGGAATTTTAAGTTTCTCCATTCTGCAATTATGAGTAGACAACTATAGTTTGCTCATCTCATCATTTATCTAACTTTATAGATGTGCATACTGCAAAGTGCATCATATTTGGAAAGAAGAGTACAAAGCATATTCTTTTCCTTGGTTTGAAATATCCAAACAGCATTTAACACATCGAAGCTTGTAAAGAAAGTAAGTTTAGCTGTCATTTGATGTATGAAACCATTATTTGCTGCAAGATAAGTAATAAATATGTCAAGGATAACAAACAAATTAGCAAAGATATGAATAATAAAATTAATTCTTTAGTGCAACTTATGAGAGGGATCCTCAGATAAAGTAGATGAGTACCCTTCCCCATTTTTGTAATCATGTGAATAACTGCTTAGCTTTGTTCTGTTGTCAGCAGCATTGGATGCATGCACAGCGGAGCCCAAACAAACAGCAATCAAGAAGCATCCAACACCAGGGAAAAGAATTTGTGCCTTGTTAATTTTGTCATCTAGAAAGTAATTAAGTGTTGTGCCTGTAACAATCAGTAGAACACAAAGGATCAATTCTTTATCTTGTCAAACTCAATCACCATAAAAAAAAATGACTGATTGTAGAGAAATGTCACCTATAACAACAGTCATGCTAGAAGTGATCACCTCTGTCACTGATAAACCAACAAACGCCCAGGCATATTGCGTTGCCAGGTTCCCAAGACTAAGAACTATCCCACCAGCCATTGCAAACAGAACACTAGGCCAATTATCCTGCATAATCAGATTTATGCTTCAATAAGCAAAAGAAAAAAATTAAGAAACCAACATGTCACCAGGACTTAACTATTAATCAGACATGGACACATAATTCCTTAAATCTATAAATGAGCTAAATTAAGAATATTGAACTTTTGCTAGTCAAGAAAAAACGACTCCAGATTTCTCCAAGAAAACAACAACTTTCTCACCACAAATCCAACTTACAAGCTCCACAAAGGAAGCTAAATGTTTTGATGGATCAGGACCAGTGCATAAATGATTTTTAATGAAAAACATCAACCACATTCAATAAATGCTTGATACTCATATTCTAAATACTTGAATAACTTCACCCTGTTACATTTTGGTAAAGATTTGTCTTGCGATACATATGGAATTCATCCAAAGGAATTGTTAATGCAATTACCGATAGTTTTCCTTATTTACTTGAAAGTTCCTCAAACTGACCGGTTTGGATGTTTAAACTGTACTTCATGCTGCATGAATTGTGACCTTCTTAGCTAAAAAGCCAAATTTCAAGAAATAGAACAGGTAAAAAATATATCAGAAGTAACAAGCAATGCATCTCACAGAACAAAAGGCTTACTGGGCCAGAATAAAAACTTTTGTTCCATCTCTAAACAATAGGCTCAAATACTTTTGCAAAGTCTGCATTTTCTTTAGTTTTAGTAATAGGGATTCCATACTAAGATATAAATCATAATGCAAACTCGTAATTTTGTCTGATGGAATTTTTTTTTACACTCTCACCAAAAAGTAGGCCATTAACTATATAGTGCAGTCACCTGTCTTAGTTGCTCAATGAATTTGGCTTTTAGGTAAAAGCAATGATTTACTTCACTAATATATGCATGCGATAAATTCTATCAAATCCAGACTCATAACTTTGTCTGATGAAATTGTTTGACACTCACTAAAAATTAGGCCTTTAACTAAATAGTGCAGTCACCACTCACCTGAGTTAGTTGCTCAATGAAATTTGGCTTTTCATGCGTGCTTTTTCCAATTTCACCAAAGGTAAAAGCAATGATGACAGCAGCCAACAGATTGGTGATTGTGTAGTCAAGATAGGTGTGCTGAGGAAGACGACCACGCCTTTCCAAAAGAGTCAAAATGGCAGGCCATGTGCCCAAGAAAAATAGAGCAAGCAGCATACATGCTATAGCCCCTCCTTTGCTCTCCACTACATACATCTTCAAACTACTTGATAGAAATCTTTCTGATGGAAAAGTAACCAACCAAGGAATGTTCACAGAATCCTAGCAACAGAGGATTAGATAGATAATTCCGTCAGTCAGGATTCGTAACCAAAGCAGTAGGCTTGCAGGCAAAATTATCAAGATCATAGGAATTTAAGGCTGTTTTCCGTTCTTTACAAGAATTGGAATTGAAATTGTTTCTTGTGCAAATTGAGTAAAATTGCTGGATAATACAACTCTGATTGTATTCCAAGTTTCTATTCCCATAGAGAATCAACTACAACCTCAGAAAAAGAGGTGGAAGAATCAGAATGGTTATTTGAAATGAGCAGAATTAATCTCAAATAGGTATTCATCCTACATTACACTGAATCCACACCAAAAAAAATACAAAAATGATGGCAAGTTGAGTTAATCTTTACAAGAATCCTATAAAACAGAAACCCTTTGATTGCCTAACTATGCAGAAATCAAGAAGAATCCAGAATCAAGGGGTTTTCAGCTCACCATTTCTGGGGAAAAAAATGGAAAATTAAGGCCATAAGTGGGCAAAATGAAATGCTTAAAAATTGTGCAGAACCGTTAAAAAACCATGGACTGCATAGCGAAAGAAAGAGATGGATGATACTCTACCAAGTAAATTCACAACTGACGTGACAAGACAACAAATCTGGGACACCCCACAACAACGTAAAAGGTACAACAAAAAGAGTTTTTCACTCTGAATCACTCTGCTGCTTAATTTGCCAACCAAAGATTTCTCCAAAAAGTTACTAGGAATCTTTGGAGGTAGCTGGCCTTCAGCTGTTCAACAACACATGATCATGATGGCGGATGGTGGGGCTACTATATATATTGAGGTGGACTAAAGACAATGGAAAGGCTAAAGAGTTGGAAGAAAAATTTGAGCTTCGGTGCGATCAGTGATGGGAGGCCATGCCAACTGTTAAGAAAACAATGGAGATATGCTATGGTGGAACACTGGTTGTTTTTAACTGTACTTTTCAACGTGGGTCATTTCCGTCTAGTTCCAGCAGTCTGGTGGAACATTGGATCTCCTTGATTTTCAAAGAGAGGAAAATGCCAAAAGTCGGAACCTTTACTGTCAGATTCTGTGAATCTACTGGCTGAGGGATTCACCTAATTTTGAGACTTTAGGCACCATCTACCATATCTTGTTTTCTAGTAGCTTGAAATTGAATGAGGAACTTGCTATATAAGATGGTAAAAGAGTGCATTAGTTTCGCATATTCAGCTCATTGCAAGTGTGGAAAAAATTTTGTTTTGCTTGTCATTCTAGCGGTGCTCTTGGTTGGGCTACATTTGTCACTTGTGATATTTATTGTAATAAAACATTACTAAATTTGTTCGTAAGAAAATAACTTTGAAAATATACGCAAAATATGTTCTTATTGTAGTTGCAACTTGCAACTAACAAACAAATGCTGGACACGGACATGGGAATATTCCCTATCCATCAAAATCAAAAAATATATACTCTCTCCGTCCCGTTTTATTAGTCTTGATTTTTTTTTCACACAGATTAAGAAAGTGTAATTAATTTGGTTGGAAACATAAATTTAGATTAATAATTTCCTAAAATACCCTTATGCTAATCACGAAAAGTGTCAATTAATATCAAAGAATGATGGCATTATTTGTTTCCCTCCTGATATAAATAAATTTTAAAGAATAATAAAGATAGACTTTTCATTTATCTATGTATTGGAAAAGCTCAATGTATTCAATGTAGTGGGTTAGTATTTAATAACAATGTATTAATAACAAAATATTTAATAAGGGTATTTTAGACAATTTGAAAGATTACTACATTCCTTAATGGGAAAGTGGATTACAATTTGGGACAGATGAAAAAGGAAAACAAGACTAACAAAACGGGACGGAGGGAGTATATACTTATATATTTTTTGGTGTTTTGTTACTATGGAATCGTCTCCCTTCAATACTTTCCCTTGATTGGTTTAGATTCCACGACTTCATGGTCGGATGTCCCTATCCTGCCGTGCTGAAATCTCCTCAATGATTTGGAAATGGTTGACTTTCAAGTTGCTCTTGCGTCACACGCATTTCAATTTTCACCACCCGAAAATATTAAAAACTCCAGTCAAATTCCATTTTGAAACGCCAAGTCCTAATGAGATGCTTAAGGAGGAATGCTAATACACTCCTAGTCCATGCTTTTCCAAAAATTTACGTATGGGACAACGAGAAGAAATTAATAGCATTAAATAACAACCAAAGGCAGCGGTTGTATTAAAACTATCATGAACAGGGGTAAAACAACGAAAATATAGAAGAAGATCATCATGAAATTGAAAACCTCTAGCCTCCAAGAAGAAAGAGTCCAATTAATTGGCGTCACGGACTCAAAGATTCATAGTTTGTACAATCAAAATAACGTTTCTCGCATTTTGTTAAATAAATTCTTTCATCATTCACTTTTAAAATTGTAACTTTATGTCTTTTACAAAATCAAGTCAGTAAAATTTGGTCTCAATTAAATTTTTGATCACTTCTTATATTGAATCCATTATGTGACCTGCTGCACATAGTCATTTTTTAAGGGACAAAAAATTTAGATTTCATTTGTAATTAAATGAATGACTCAATCTATGTCCATATTTGTCCATAAAAAAGTAGGATCTAACCTCAACTATATTTATTTTTTCCCTAAAAAATGAGATCTGACCAATTTATATTCATTTTTACCACTAAAAAAAAGGATCTGATTTTTTTGTATATATAAAATACTAACTACATATGAGTCATACTACGGTGATTTCAGGTTAAAAAATGAGTGGAAACTTATGTTGGGACCAAAATCTACTAATTTCAATTGTAAGGGCTTAAAATTAACATTTTAAAAGTGAACGAGAAAAAAAATTTACTTGACGAAATATGAGGAATATTTTGAACAATTTTTCCTAAAAATAATTAAGAAAGCTAAACTGGTGTGGTGCTGTAAAATAAAAATATTAAGTTTCAAATAATTAAGAATTTAATGTGATATGATTTCTTGGGATGACAAGATTCAGTCCGCCCTTTGACCATATAAAATCATGTCCACGTTGGTGATTTAGACCATCAATACGGCACAATCATACCCAGATTTGTTGCTAATCAATGATTTCAACAACTTATGAATATTTTCTTTGTTTGGAGATTTATTGCTAATAAATAATTCTCTACTTTGAGTTACGTGAAGAAATTGATTATCTCTTTCGGCCGTCGGAGAACAAAGGCGTACGCTTCGAACAGTTCTGGGCTACATGTCAAGCAGTGAAGGTGGGTTAAGTTAAACAGAGGAAAGGGACTTTTACGATTGGCATCGGGCTTTTGGAGGCCTGCTTAAGTAAATGTTGGTTCAACTGGCTGATTTTGAAGCACGAATTGGACTTCTAAAAGAGGCTTATAGTATTTTGGAGCAAGAAGAGGGATGTTGCTCATGGCCCCGTGGCCTTTGTAATCATGCTTTAATTTTCAAGAAATGTTATTTGCACTTTTATTTTTGTGTTTACTGCAGTATGAGACTGATGGCTCAAACGACTACAACAATTTTCAGCCTGGTTCCCTGAATACTACTTTGCAGCTGATTAAAGACATAAAGAACATTGATATAGTTTTCCATATTGGAGATATTTGTTATTCTAGTGGGTATATTTCCCAGTGGGATCAATTTACTTCTCAAATTGAGCCGATTGCTTCAAGAGTACCTTATATGATTGCGAGGTATATTTGTGCATAATTATGGACTTGTTTCTTGCCTTTTTGGAGTATCATTGACAAATCTATCTTTTCAGTGGAAACCATGAGCGTGACTGGCCTGACTCAGGTTCATTCTACGGTTACATGGATTCAGGAGGAGAATGTGGAGTGCTGGCTGAAACAATGTTTTACGTTCCTGCTGAGAACAGGGCCAAGTTCTGGTAAGGGGGCCAACTGTTTTTCATCCATTTATGCATACTATTCTGGGGCATGGGAGGAGAAATTTGGATGTTGCCTTACTACTGTTGCACTATTGACTCTGTCCATGTCCATAATATCCAATTTGCATTTGTTCACGTTTGCCAGCCATATTACTATGATGATATTTAGATAGTTTCATCCATTATCTATGATTTTTGCGCGGTTCATTATTTCATGAATATCTTAATAAAGGTTTTATCTTTGGTGGCATCATCTTTTACCTATTCAGTTTTATTAGCCTAAAGCCTTAGACAATATTGTTAGCTTATTGCTGCTCGTGGCTAATGACTCATGTTAATTCAATCAAAGCACATTGTTCGTGAAGAAACTACTATCGTATCAACAAAGGTAGAGATGTACTTTCGGAAAGAATCCCTACTTGGAGGTCTGACGTGCAAATATTGAATGTGCTGTATCTGGAATATGCAGCATGATTGACTTCAGATCTTAATTATCTTATTCTGTCAGGTATTCTACCGACTATGGCATGTTTAGGTTCTGCATAGCTGATACTGAACATGATTGGAGAGAAGGAACGGAGCAATACAAATTCATTGAGCACTGCCTGGCATCTGTAGACAGACGGAAGCAACCTTGGTTGATCTTTTTGGCACATCGTGTTCTTGGTTATTCTTCAAGCTTTTGGTATACCTACAGAGGAACATTTGCAGAACCAATGGGAAAGGAGGATCTTCAAAAACTTTGGCAGAAATATAAAGTTGACATTGCCATTTTCGGGCATGTTCATAATTATGAACGAACATGTCCCATATACCAGGTATTAATCTCCATACTTCTTTCATGCAGCTGTATGTTCACAATAGATTTAATCAGCTGGCATAGTTTGTGGACATTTCATCCTCTATAACTTGTTCTCATTTTCCTGCAGCTTAGCTGAATAATAAGTGACTCATTCAACTCATAGATCAGGCTGTCCAAGTCTCTGTCCCATCGTAGGAGTTTATAAGTCAGCAGAAATTTAGTTAAGGAAATAAACAATAAAATCCATGTCTCCGTGTATCCATGCACATGGTTAAACTGAGAAGGTCATTTATTGCTTTTTGTTTGACGAGAAAAAGAATCCTGATGCAAATAACATGGGAAGGCAAGATCAATTTGTCAGAATATTGTCAAAATGAAGTACAAGCTTGAATGTCATTTACTTTGTTCTAACAATCTTACAGTTTGCAGTCAAATGTTTCATTGTCTACCTTTGTCAGGAAATTGTAAACTTGATGAAGATCAAACTCATGTCTCTTTCGCTAACTTTGTAGCTAAAATTTTATAACTTATACCTTTTTGTTTATGTAGAATACTTGTACAAACAATGAGAAGCACTTCTACAAGGGCATCTTAAATGGGACTATACACGTGGTTGCTGGAGGAGGAGGGGCAGGCCTTTCTGACTTTTCTAGCATTGTACCTTTGTGGAGCATCTACAGGGACTTTGATTATGGGTTTGTAAAACTGACAGCATTCGATCATTCAAACTTGTTGTTTCAGTACAAAAAGAGTAGAGATGGCAAAATTTATGATTCCTTCAGAATTTCCAGGGGCTACAGAGATATCTTGGCTTGCACAGTGGATAGCTGCTCAAGTAAGACCCTGACATTTTGAGTGGTAAGCAAATGAAAATCTATTGTGATATTGGATCAGGAAGAACAACCAAATGTACATTGTTACTCTGTAAGACGATTGACTTAAAGGTTATTTGTTGGGATTGATACCACATGTAAACTGTATCTAGGAGGCACACCAGTGAATACAGTATATTACTTCTTGGTGAGTTGTTAATCCTGCAATATTTTCACGAATCGATTCTAGAATCATACACAATGCGAACTCAAGAAGTTGGATTGTTACGTTACTAATGTTGCAATGTTTTAAAGAAATGAATGTAATCCTACTCAAGATACTGGATTTTGTATTGAGTTCTTCCCAGTTAAAAGGAAAGACTTGGAAAAGATTCACCCATCATTCATATCAACAACAGGGATTATTCAAGTGGTGCCCAGCCAGAAAAACGATAAATGGCACTTCAAGCCACAAGCAGCGTTCAGACAAACCCCTGGCCATTTACGGCCACATTTTCCATGTAAGGTTAGATGGATAAATGATTATAACTATATCTGACTCTCATTAGGTTGCTCCACACACCCCCTAGTCCTTGAATCTAGTGGCCTCGAGTTGGAGTTGCCGCATAATGCCAAATAAGACCTTTTCAATCTGACATCAGTTAACACTACAGGCACTTGGAAAAATGGCTTACCCAGGCAAAATGAGAGGGGGGAAAAAAGGAAAAAATGGCCGGAAGATCATCTTGTTTGGCAAATTGTACAACAATTTTGAGCATACTCTTCTCTTGATTCAAGGGTTTTTCTATTTTTAAGTTTCTCTCAAGTTTGTTATGTTCTAAGCCACTTACTTATGGCATCCTAATGGTCCAATTTGACGAAAAATAACAGAAATTTTGCAGTCAGTTGTAAGGCGGTTTTGTTTTTCAAGGAAGAAGGGAAAACGTATGGATTTATGGATTGTGGCAGCAGCTGCTGGTGCCGGCTATCTGGGCAAACACCTGCAGAACTTATCACTGAGTGAGAAGGAAAAATTAGTGGAATCCTATTCCAAAATCTCAAACCTCAGGCAATCAGAACCCCAGAATTTTCTTCAGCAAATTAGGGACAACACTTGTCCTTTACGCAGATTGGCACAAAAAGATGCACATATGGAAGCTGCTTCCGAGCAAAATGATGTTTTGGACAGGCCTTTGGAAATGGATCAATTTAACGGTGGTTCAGTTTCACTACTTACAAGGGCATCCATCAGTGGAAGTGTTAGAATGGTGGAAGATATGAATGTACTAAAGTTATCTAGTCCAGCACCCGGACTTGGCGAAAGCAAAAGCTGTTCAAACGATATGGAGTTTATGTATGGTAGTAGTCGGAGTTCTGCAAGACTTAGCAGGTATGAATTACTTAAAAGTAGGTCTTCCGGCTCCGGGCATGTTCTTGAACCTTTAGGTTCTGTAGAAAATCATCTTCAAAAGATAGGTGACTCTGCGCATAGTTCACTTCCAACACCGCTTGCTCCAACAAAAGGACTAATGTTGGTATCTAATGGAGATCGAATTTTGAGACGATATATTGGTAATTCACTTGATTCATTGTCTACTGATGTGGAAGATAACCCGAGTGATGCCTGCCATAACGACAGTTGTGCCTTTTCGAGTGCTCCATCCTTTTATGACACTGAATCAGTCGAGTTGCAAGAGCAGGTCAAACGAAAAAGTTCCCAAGAAAAGTTGCTTGGCGGAGCAGATCAGTCATCAGGTTCTTCTGCTTGTTCTGCAGTGATGAAATTATTTGGTGTCTAATTCTCTACTGAATCCTTTATTTCTGCAGGGATGTTTAAACTGAATGCTTGTCCTATTGACTGTTAAGAAATGTAAATATGGAACATTCACGATTAAGAAACGTAGATAGTACAATGTGTTGGTGTGTTCTTTTACACTCTTTAATTTTGTTATTCCTTTTATCACAATGTCATCAGAGCTACCCAGCGGGATGCTCCTGTTCTTGATTGGGTTGACAATTGGCATAACGCCTGAAGTTTTTACTTATACAAGGGAAGTTAAGAAGCTGAATGAGAAACTAAAACTGGCCGAGAATTTAGTTCAAGATTTACAGGAGGAGCTTGATATGAAAGATAAGCTTACTGTGAAGGAGCTTGCCGGGGAAATTTCTCAGCCTCTGAGCACAAAGAATCTCTCTTCATTCAATGAGGAGCCTACTGTGTCGTGCTCTGATCCAGGTGATGACAGCAAATTGTCCATGAGTAAAATTGAGGCAGAACTTGAAGCTGAGCTGGGGAGGCTGGGAATACATATGGATCTGGAAAGAACATCCGACTTTGGGGAGGAAAGCATTTTTTTTTTCTGAAACGATAAAAATTTTATATCATTGTAAACTGTACAAATTTGGAGCAAAGGCTCCTATCTTTACAAAAGTGCATTTAGCACTATGTAGTGGCGTAGTTCCACTCCATGTCACAAAAATTCAAAAGAGCAATTTTGCTCAAACTATAGCATAAGCTATCAGTATCTTCATTCTAACTTCCCAAAAGAGCACATTCGAAACCATAAGGACGGACATCATAATAGCAACTATCGCTTTGGGGAGGTAAGCATGCATCCAAGAATTTGAACTTTACTTGCACGCATTAGAATTGATGGATTGTAGTCCTGCTTCAGCATATTTTTTCTTCATGATCGAGACACAGGCTTCTCATCTGCTTCCTGAACTGTTCTTTTGTTAATAGATACCTACACTAGTCATCTTTCTCACATTTCTTGGTTAATAATAATTTCCCGAATATTTATCATCTAGGCAATTTAACTGCTGAAGTCTTTTTTCGATCTCTTTCCACCTCCTGGCCTCCCTAGATAATTTTACAGGCAGAGGACATTGAATCAGGAGTCACACGAAATATTATGTGCTTCGATATAGTATCTTCAATTGTTTTGGACAATCTGGGGACTTCTTGGACCCCCAGCTACATTGCAGCATGTCTTTTACAGGTTTCTTCTTGCTGCAGTGTTCTCAATAAGCAAGTGAATGACTTCTTTTATTTGTGAATAATATTAACAGGCATGAAACTAGGAAAACTTTGTGGTTGATTTCAAACTTTACCATTCGTCATTTTTGGGCTAAGTTATAAAAGCATCTAATGGTTTGAATGGTTCATCAGCCTGATTCACAATGCGAAGTAGACGCCATTCGAGGAGATATGAAGTTAGATGCGCTCAGAAGACAGTATGAAAATGCCTCCGAATCGGTATCAGATGAAGAAAGTGATACCACCAATGGACCAACTCCACCTGCAAATTATGCAGTTTCCCCCCGCGAGTTGAGTATGCGGTTGCACAAGCTAAGAGAATCAAGACTTGAAGCACGTATCAAGGAGCTTGAAAATGCGCTCCAGAACATCCAAAACGAATTCCATTCTCTGGAACCACAATGCATTACGTCTCTTGACTCTGCATACAGCGACGGAGAATCATTATCAACCCCAGAAAGTCCTCATCAGCTCTGCCGGAATGCTACAGATACGTTGGACGAGGTGAATGGAAGGACAAGCAAAGTGACAGGAAAAGATCCAGAGGCTAATTATGCAGTACTAATCCCAAACCCATCAACCAAGAACTTTCCCCATTTGAGAGAGCACCGGACGACGTCCCAAAGAGCAGAGATGATGGGTTCATATCTCGGCGGAGACAAAAGATCCAGTAGCTCCTTTCAGATGGACTGAGACCCCTGAAAAAGCAGTTATGAAGAAGCATTGCAGCAAAAGATGGTGGTAAATTTGAAGAAATATACAGATGGTTGGGAGACTTCTTGACAGCACAGATCAGGGTCTTCAGCAGTTTAAAATGCTGAAGAGGTTTAGCAACATGCAGATCAGAACAAGAAGATTGTATAGATGGTTTAGACAGGAAAATACGAAGTATACAGTAACAGGCAATAAGGAAATTCCTCAAAAGAGTCGTCCATATTATCCTTCCCCTACTAGGAAAAGGAAAGATATTCAAATAGATGAATGAAAGACTGAACTCATCGAAGTTAGGTACTATATAGCCTCTGTGCTCAATTAGCTCCGACTACAGCTTACTTCAGATTGAAACTGAAAATGCTAGGAAATCTTTCCCAACAAAAGGCATGGCAAGGATGCTTTGTTTCTTTTTATTTGCAGAAAATGAAAGAGAGAAAAAAAAATTGAAGAGAGAGAGAGAAGAATATAGGCAGAAAGAGGGAAGAAACATGCAGCCTGTAGTTGAATTAAAGAGGGATGATAGACCTTAAATCTCACTAAAGTTCACAACTTTCGGCCCTTTCTAATTGAACCTTCATTCCTAAATTTTTTCCCCCTTAATCACTATATACATCATACGGAAAGAATTTTCTTATGCCTAACATATAACAAGAAGGAAAAATATAACGACCCACAGAGTATTCCGCTTAAAATAAGAACCCAATTAAATGCGGAAGGAACGTCAAATATTGTTGCTTCAAAATTCATTCCAAATACAGCAGTCACCACAGCAAACACTGTTGCGACAAATGTGGCCCCCGTCAAAAGTAACTCAAATTTTATCAGCTGGTTCTGAACATTCCCCTGCGATGCAAACAGAAAATGACTTTTCATGATGCAGCATCAAACATGATGGGAAGCAATAATGGTAATTAACAAAAACAAAATGTCAGATTTATGATCTTTTACCAGTTTTATAGTGATGAAGTCCTCAGTATCATCAATGTATTCTTTAAGCTGTATCACCAAGGAAAACAGAAGATTCTTAGTGTTCATGATGCAACACGGGATTAGTTTAAGCATGCCAACAAGCTAAATCAGCATACTTTGTTCAGTACAGACACTAAACATGTTAGCCTGTGTGTTGTGGTAATGATGCCCGTGCAATAATGAAATCTCAAAAAGTGTAATAAGAGCTGGATGGGCAAATTACATGAATTAAGGCCTTCAAGGAATGTCTAATGGGCGAAAGCGGAAAAAATATGCTATAGATATACTAGAAAAGTGAAGCACAGGCCTCTCTTACCGATAGCAACTTGTTCAGAGTATTATCAATGAACACAAAGTAAGCCTCTAGCAACATTTCGAGTTGATCAATATTTTCTTCACTATTAGATGAACTTCCCAAGCTTCCATGTTTACTTGAACTGATGCTGCTGAAAGCCCTCTGTAACTTTTGTACTCCAATACATGAGCCCACAGGTGAAACGGGAGCAGATTTTGATCCAACTCTGGAAGCAGTGAAAAAAGTAGTTTGATCATACTGCTCATTGTTGGCATACGCTTCCTTTCTCTGTTTCTTCTCTGTTAAGTACATCTCGGCCATATCACCATCATCATCCATGAGATGTTCTATTTCATCACACACCTGAAATGTTGATTTAATAGCCAAAAATTGCAGCATTAGTAGTTAAGCATCATTTTAGTAGCAACTAAAATATGTAAGCATACCTTCTGCACTCGCTGAGTTAAAGCAAGGAGGTGGCCCTTCAATCGGCGGACATGTTCTAGATTAAGAGTGCTTATAGACGAGGCCAATTCGTCAAGGACTGGATATATCTCCATCTCCAATTCTTTCGCCTACTAAATTAGGAAACTTCATAAATATGTGGCTCGATATTAACACAAGCAGTTTGGCAAAAACACAGTTTATGTTCATACTGGTATTCCCGAAGCTATGGCATGCTGAAATGTGTATGGAAAAAGAATTTTTGCCCAATATCAACAAGAATAAAAATCTATTTTCTCTTAATAATCCAATGAAGGATCTTACTCCATCTGCAGAGATCTTAATTCTCAACTATCTTTAATGTGCCTAAACCAAAAACTATATGCTCTACAAGTAAGATAGAACAGCATAAAGAAGGCAGACCTACCATGAGCCACCTATTACAGAGTATAACATACCTGAGCATCAAGAGACATGCATGTCAATTCCAAAGCCAGCTCCAAGGCCTTGAATTCAAAAGGTAGATCATCTGAATCAATCACCAAACAAGGTACACTAATTACTTGGAGAATTAAAAGGTAACTAATTACTTGGAGAATTAAAAACTAATGGGGGAAATACACTACCAGAAGAATCGTCAGCAGAAGGAAAGACATTATGTCACAAACTAATATGCACTAAAACTTCACTCCACACAACAGATACGCTGAAACATTCTTTGACATAAAGGGATACTGCCAACTAGATCTTTATTCCTTTTTCTCACGTCAAACCAAATGCTTCCCCATATCAATTTGGGAAAGGGTTAGCCAGCAAAGGGGAAACAAGTAAATGTTTCACCTGGCATTTTGTGTTATTCAAGTACCACAAAGCTCAATGGCTTAGGGTACCATCAGGTGTATGCACTGGTGAATAATTATATCTTATAATCCTTCATATTGACTATTGGAATAACATATTGCAACAAAATAATCACCCAGCTGCCACTCATGACCCAACATAAGAAAATGGAATGTATGGCCTACTAACAAGTCCCAAGTCAGATAATGTGAAAAGGATGATTTAGAAAAGAATGACCTTTAGCTACAATTCAAGCATGATTCAAGAATGAAGCCATGCTATCTCATGAATTCATCTCTTCTCTGCGCAGAAATACACTCTCTGGGGCATGATTTAGTAATAAAACTGTCAAATCTAAGAGAAAGTATGGCCTTCCAATACATCTGCTCTTTTTCTTTTGGCCAAAAAATAATAATAATAATGGCACATTACTGTAGCAGGTATCGGTGTAACAAATTGAAATGCGCAGCAGCAGCCAAGTGGCGCTTCCTTTCTATATTACCAGTTTCCATTAAGTGAAACCACAACCGTAACTCAACCCAAATTAATCCGCCACTGGAACTCTTACCATGCGAAAGGGTTGCAGGCTGGAACTTCGAAAAGTGGAAGAAACGAATTTATAAAGCTACCTAAGATTTCATGGGATAAGAATTGTGTTGACCTGAGTTTCATAATAAAATGCAGCATAATGTCCAATAGAGATCTTCTAGAAATCTGGAAAATCAATTTGGTCTTATTCTAAAACTTCCAATTATAAAGTAAACTCTGAAACTCAAAACTTCTGCATACCTATTCACTTTTGAAGTTTGGCTTTTACCTTAGATAAATTTATCAAAATTCGCAAACAGTTAAGCTACTGCCTTATCCAAAAGCTTATGCTCTTAGAGGTAAGTAACTTATTCACAAATACCAACCAAACACAAAGTGTAGTCCAACAGCATAAATTTAGTGTTATATGGTAAATAAGAAGTGCTAAAAAATGAGACTAATATAAACACACCAGCTTGATCTTTATTTGCTTGAAGGCGTTTGCACAATTCTGATTTAAAGTGAACTACAGATGCCTTATCCAAAAGCTTAAGCTCTTAGAGGTAACTTATTCACAAACACCAACCAAACACAAAGTGTAGTCCAACAGCATAAATTTAGTGTTATATGCTAAAGAAGAAGTGCTAAAAAAAAGAGACTACTATAAACACACCAGCTTGATCTTTATTTGCTTGAAGGCGTTTGCACAATTCTGATACATAGTGGACTACAGATGCATCCAACGAATTCATCAGTATGACCTCATCAGCCGTGATTATACACCTAATCATTTCAAGATTAACCACGATAGCCTTTTCTCGACCCAGAATGCTGGAAGGATAGATAAACATTGGATCCAACAGACGAAGATCCCTTGATGGCAAAGAGCAATGCCTCATCACAGTAGCTTTATCCAATTCCAAAATCTTTGAATTCCCATTTTGATCAATCTTTACCCAAGACCGACTTCCAAGTCCATGCCCCCTCTTCTTAAACCCAGGATTGCCCAACCCACGAAAATAATCTTCAAGACGCCCATTTGAAGGAAACCTTGAATCGCTGTTACTTGGGAGAAATTCAGGAAACTTGGAAGGAATTTCTTGAGTTTGACGTTCTGCCATTTGCTTAACTCAGCTATCAGACGGTTTAAACAGATCAGCATCGGCAATCAGATTGTGAGTGAGTCTCAATGCATTTTTGGCTGATAATTTGTTCAACAAAGCTCACAACTCTTTGTCATCATACTAAGGCCTCTTTGTTCTCCATTGTATGTAAACCTGAATGATAATAGGAAAACCATGCATTCTCAGTAAGGCTACTTATTACACAAGATTTCCACAGTCAATAAGAGAAAAGAAATAAAAAAGAAGCAGTGAAGTGCTCAAACACATTAAAGAATTCCCTCAATTATTAAGTTTACAAAAACAGATATTTCACTCAAAAAATCTCTTAAATTTACACATTTCAGAGATTTTTTGTATGCTAAAAGTCCTGAGGCTTTCATTCACCTTTTCTGCACATTGCAATACAGTTCTACATGCCTGGGACTTCAAGAGATTGAATTCAGCAATTTGACAACAGAAGATGCACTAATCCAGCTGCTTTAAAATCAACATGGCCACTTGCAGCTGTCTTATAACAAAAATGTACTCAAGCTCAGCCATGACGGTGAATTGAAAATTCAAGGCCATATGCAGCCACAATCTCATAACAAATGTGTACAGATCAATCAGGTCTTATATAAGAACACAAGATCTTTGCCCCTCATTCTTCCAAGAATCAGAAAGATCCTTATAAACAAGAAAAACTATTATGCAGATGAGTGATTGGGTCGCCATTGATACAACAATGATTTGTTACTGTTGGTATAAAATAAGCTTGTATCTTATCATTGATACCCTCTCTGAGTAATGGAAAACAGTTTGAAAGCATGCAGAAGAAAGAAAATGAAAATAATAGTTAATTTCAATCTTATTTCTCTCCCAGGAAATAGTGGATAATATAGCACCCACAACATCCAAAACCTTTCATTTCTAGTTCCATCCTCCCTACTGCACCTCAGAAATGGAAAGCAATGAATACCAAAAATTGCCTGCTTATTATCATTATTATTTTTGGTTTCCAACTTCCATTATCCAAAATAAAGGGATGTGAAAATAAAGTCCACTACATCGATTTTTAAAGTCAATTTAATTTGCAAAAGTCACCATCCTGCCAAAAGCGGCATAACGCAACACCCTGTTACTCTGATTCTTCCACAAACACAAAAAGGAAAAAGTTCAAAGCTTTAAAGCACATCCAAAGAAGCACGAGTCATAAATCCCCCTCCCCTTTCAAACCCACCTCAATTTACACACAGAATTCTGTAAGGTCAAAAGATAAAACCCCCCCCCCCCCCCCCCCCCACACACAACACACACAAAGACTACTTCAGCTTTCTAGAGCTCAAATCTGAGACCCACAAAGCTAAAACCATCAAAATGGAGGTTAATTACTTTATCAACGTTAATTTAACTTCAAGAAAAGCAATTCCAGCAATTATAGCTTATAAAAGTTGCAAAAGAAAACAGAAAAGTACAGCAGTCACGAATCCCAGCTGCACAACTATCTAAAACCTATTAAAAAGATTAATAGAATGCACCCCAGATGTATATTCATGGTTGAATTCAAGCGTAACGCACAGTGAATTGTAGAAATGTAGGAATTAAAAATTTTACCTTTTTCAGGAGAAATGAAAACTTTCAAAACGGTGGGAAAGAAGAGAGTAGAGCTGTCACTGTCAGGAGGAGAGGAATTACATGTGAGCGTGTGTGCGTGTGTGGAGTTCCAGGGATTTAATCTCTTCTCTGTTCTGATTCTTACGCTTCTACTGAAAAGCGTTAAGAGCACTTGGGCGCTTCTTTAACGCAATTTAAGGTCCGTTACAAAATTGTACTAGTGTATTTTTTGGGTAAATTACTTATAACCCCTTGTAGTTCTATATAACATCAGATAATTCCCCCTAAAGTTTTAAAATAGTCATATAACCCCCTATAGTTTTATGTAAAGTAAAAAATAAATAGAAAACACAATTAATTATGGCGTTTATACCAAACCCACGCTAAAAGCACGTGTGACAAAATTTTAATATTAGTTGAATTGAATTCAAATAAGTTTTTATCTGATACTAATAATAAAAACATAAATTCTAGTTGTATAATTCTTTAAATTATATTTATCATAGACGAGACCAAACTGACCTATGACTTTTTGCCTTTACACTTTTTGAATTGGTCTTACTAACTATCAAATAAATTTGTTCAAAAAAAGGAAATAGAAGAAAAGGTTTAGAAGGGAAAGAATCCAAGGTCTGAGAATGAAGAATAAAAATCTAATCGTGGATGGAGTTGTAAGAAAAGGAAATAAGCCACATTATGAGATTTCATATTCGACTTCTTAACTTGATGAATACCATTGCTGCAAGGAAACGCCATGTAAATGTCGTAACTATTCTAAATGAGTTTCTTTTTTCCTTTGTTTTCCTTTCATGGGATCAAAATTGAGTCTCTTTCTTCAAAGCAAGGTATTTAAACAATTCCATTCCCAAACCCTAGGATTTATATCTCGTGATTCGTGAATGAGGGTTTTGATTCAGTGTTCAAACAACCAAATTTGATACTCCAAAAAATCCAAGGTATGGTAAAACAAACTCTTTTGAAATTATCTGCTTGAATTAATTAGGTAGAGTTTTCATTCACTTCTCTTGCATTCTAATTTCTCAGAGAATCTCCATATTGATTGGATCACTGAATTTCATATTCTTATTAATTTCAATTTTTATACTAAATGAGCAAAGTAGCCGAGTGAACACAAATTGCTAGTACACTATTATGTTTGGCGGTTTTATTTATGTAGCGAAAGTCTGTCATCAAATATCAAGTAATTTGATTGTCTTTGAACCCCTATTTACGTTGCATGGCAATCATGAAAACAAATTGCTAGCACTCTGTTTGGTGGTTTCATGTAGCAAAACTCTATTATCAAATATCAAGTAATTTGCTTCTCGCGGGTAATTCGACTGGTTCCGTAGTCTAGTGATTATCAGCAGATTCCGTAATAACATCTGTGTGCTATTTTGCTATGTGTTCCGTGATAATCTTCGTATGCTATTTCGTTGTATATCTTTGGAATAAGACTCTACACAGTATTAAAGGGATTAATCTGAGTAAAAGAGTGAGATATACCCTAAATGAAATATATATATATATATATATATCAAGTAATTTGATGCATATTTTAAACCCCTATCTACCTTGCACGATATTATTACGCGCTTTTCCTCTTTACCAGGGGAAAAAGAAACGGAAGTCTACTGATTAGGAAAACCCGAACTAGTCACGTGCAGAACACATGTTGTGAGAGTAGCTAACGACTGGCGCCAAAAGGAGCAGCGAGTTCTGCTACATCAAGAAATTTTACTATATCTCATCAACCGAAACATGCGTTTTACCTTCCATCTCATCGTTGTATATGGATTATCTACCAAAAACCCTAGTCAGTCTTTCTGTATTGTTGCCAAGATTCTTGATTTCTGTGGTAGAGAAGGTCAAATATTCAATCCCTCAAATATCGAAGGAGGATTATCTGCGCCTATATAGTTTTACAAAGTCAGCAAGACATACAAGAAAGCCAAAAGGAAACCAATAAAAAACCCAATCCCGTAAATGAGATTCATCATTTCGGGCTTAATTTAACGTAAATCTTCCCTTGGGCTATCCTTATTCTTATCTCTTTTTATTCATCTGGGTTCGGTTCAATTTCTCTCATTTTTTTGGTGTGGAGTTATACTTACATTGCGTGTACATATACACATATATATGGGGGTTTATGTTAATCTTCTGATTCTTCATTGGAGCGAGTATTATTGGGGTTTGAAGGGATTTGGAAACATAAGAGGATATATCTGTGCCAATATAGGCAAGGAGGCTTTACTTGTAGAACGTATAAAATACTTAAGGTGAGATAAGTTTTTGTCAATGAGTTTCTCTTTTCAGCTTATCCATGATGCATGTTCTCTAGACAGATTCTTGATTTTTGTAAATGTTCGTTTGAACCACAATGATAGGGAAGGGTGCTAAATTTATGGAAATTAATTGAAGAGCAATGGAAGAATTTTGGAAGATAATTGGATTATTTTACATTGTTCTAGCAAAAGTTAATTGTTGCGTGTACTGCACATTAATTGCCTTCAGATTTGAAGCCTATTATTTTGGATTAGATCATTGAAGGTTCCTGGTGGATTTTGTTCCCCCCCAACACCTAATTCTATAGAACCTCAGTGTCCCCTTCTTGTTTCTTATTTCATTTGGTATAATGATTAATTTTCATTTGGAATATACAGAGAGTTTTATATAAGAGTCATGTAATTTTTTTCAGGTATGGACTCTGAGCATGGAAGTGGAAGTAGCAGGCTTCCAAGAATTTCGGAAGCAGATGTAGATTTGGATGACTCATTTGACCCATCAACTGTGATGGATTTTGAACATTCAGGAGGATCCAGAACAAATTCAGAAATTGCAACAAGTGAGGTTGCAGCTAGCACAATAGATACTTCTAAGTCATTCAATTCTCTGCCTTCATCTTCGTCAGAAAATTCATCTCACGTTTTCTTTCAAGTGAATCCAGCCATGATTCCCATGTCCAAAACATCTGATCATGAATCCCCACCAAAATCAGAGGAAAACGCCAATTCACTGCTTAAGGATGGAAAAAATGATGTTCTATTCCAATTGGAAGAATTATTTGGATCTTTACATTCCAGCTCACAAAAATCAGATGTCACTGATGAATTTGTAATTCCAATCTTGTCACCAACACATTCTCCTCCTATTCAAGTAATGGAACGACCAAGAGGATATGATCCTGATCGTATTCCAGCGTCAGTGTTTGCAAAGCCTGCTTCACCAGTTGATTGGAGTGTCGCGTCTACTGAATCTTTATTCAGCATTCCGATAGGAAATGCCAGTTTCTCCAGAGATCATGCTTTTAAGCCAGTTGGAGACACAAACAAGCCCAATGAATTTGGCAACTCTGGAGAATTGTACGTTTCGGAAGAATTTTACAAATCAGGAGAACTAGATACTTTCAGTGAACAGTACAGATATAGAGAACTCCAAAAGTCAAGTGAGCTTGTCAGGTTGAGGCAACACTCTCCTGTAACAAAAGGAGAACATAAAGCACAAGGCGCTGATCTTCCGAACAGAACAATCAGAGATGAAGGTGGGATAAATCTAGAAGCCAAATCTTTTGCTAATCCAATGTAAGTAGAATTTTTTTTCCTCCTATAACATGAAGTTGAGGATCCTTAGATATTCAATCAACAGATACATTGTCTATACAGATTTGACTCCTTTATTCAGTTTTTCTGCTTTTATATAAATTGAAGTTTTCTTTTCGATCTCATGAACATGTTGTTTCACTGTTGCTTGATGGTATTTATATTTATCCTAAATGCTCACATGTAGATTAACATAATGTTTCAAATTTTGCTTGTGTTTCTAACTATTTCTGAACAAGGGATAGCTATGATTTTTGTCTTTTTTTCAGAAAGAAGAAGTCATCAAAGTCATCATGCGCTTGTTGCTCAAACTGCTGTTACAAGTGTCCAAGCTGCTGTTGCAAGTGTCCAGGTTGTTCGAGCTGCTGCTGTAAATGGCCAAGCTGCTCATGTAAGTGGCCAGGCTGCTCAATCTGCTGCTGTAAAAGTCCTTGTTGCTCTTGTAAGTCCTTGAGTTGCCCGTGGAAGTGGTCGTGCTTTCCAAGTTGCTGCTGAAATTGGCTAAACTGCTCAGGTGTTGTGGCAAATGCGAAAGTGGCTGCTGCAAGCCTTTAAGCTGGCCAAGCTGCCATTGTCAGTGGCCGAGCTGCTCCTCTATAAGTGTTCGAACTGGTTAAGTTGTCGCTTCAAGGGACAATCTTCAAATTCTAGCAACATATCCTGCTACAGTTGGAAATGTACAAGAAAGTCTGCTGTTGAAAGCATGCTTCTCCGTCTCTCCCTCTATCTAATTCCTTGTTCTGATTGGTATATTCTTTACTATTTTCTTTGTAATTTGAGGTATTTGGTCAATGCAGATATAAGTACCAATGCATTATACTATATCCAGTAACTGTTTCTATTTGATGCAGCACGACTGATGGAGGATTAAATATACTTAGAAATAAATTTAGCTGAAGAACAGTGCCTACAGCCTTCAAGCTCCACAAAGGCTCCAAAAGACAGATTAAGGAAGGATATGTCTTGCAGCTTGTACTTACTATTAACTCTTGAAAGGTTGAGGGGCTTAATACCTTACTGCTTCTCTATCTTCCGCATTGGCCCCTTCAAGCTGCTAACATGACCGCCAATCTACCGAAGCGTTGGAGTAAACGTAAAGAAGGTATACAGGAATTTACCTTCTGATGCTTGGAATTGCAGGACAAAGTTAGACCATGAAGATTTTTAACAACTGACATAGTTATCTTGGATTATGTAGTCAATCAGGTTAGGGTATGATTACCTACCTCTTGTGGCTTGTTGTTTAGTGCAAGAAGGTGCATTATTCTTTCTAATTTCTGAGAAGAGAGAATTCCAACACCCCTTTTTGGTATTGGAGAGGTAGAGACTTTATAGTATCATAGGATACTATTTGTTTCTTTTACATTGCAATTTGGATAATCTTTGATTTCATCAACACCCCTTTTTGGTCTACAGTAGTTTTCGTATTGCTATAATTGTATTTTGCATGTTTGTTGGTGAGTACACTAAGTACTGTACCTGTGATTTACATCACGAACCACAAGCTCTTCTATAGTGCCGGCCGCTTGAAAAAATTAAGAAGGATGTT